CCTCCCTCTCCCCAAATCCGACCACCTCATTCCCGAGCTCTGCCCTCTCACCACCGCAACCAGCAACCCTGACGTCCTCCGTTCTAGTCAACGAGAAGCAAACTCGACGCGAGCATTCGAGGGAGGGATCTCATCGCCACCGTGAAGAATCCAGAATTAAACAAAGAGGAGAATCTAGATCATTCTCCTCTCTTTTGTAATCAGGAAATCTAATTATAACTGAGATTAAAGGAATACAAATTAATTTTCCTTTATTTCTTTTTACTACAAATTTTCCACAAACAGCCTCCCTCTCCCCAAATCCGACCACCTCATTCCCGAGCTCTGCCCTCTCACCACCGCAACCAGCAACCCTGACGTCCTCCGTTCTCTCTCTCCATCGCCGCCAATAGTTCTCCTTCGATGTCAGCAACCCCAACCGTCAGATCTATCGTTGACTGCTGCCGTTCAGACCCCTCATACAACATCCGCAGCAGCATCGTTGTTGCCTCGTTCATCAGGCCCCTTGGCCTCGTAGGCAAGATCCCGATCCTTGTTTAGTTTCGTTTCAATTATTATGTTTGTCATAAATTAATTATGTGCAAGATCCCCAATCTCGTTTGTTTTATTTTAATTTTTTAGATTATCGTAAAAATTATTAGGCGCGAGATCCCTATTCCCGATTCTTGTTTAGTTTCATGTCAATTATTGTGTTGTTCCGATTCTCGTTTAGTTTTGTGTCAATTATTGAGTTGTTGTAAATTAATTATGTGCAAGATCCCCATTCTATTATTTTATTTTGTACAATTTTTAGATTTGTTAATAATTATCTGTGTGGGTTTGATGAATAATATTAAATGAATCATAACTTTATGATAAATAGTATTTTTAGAATAATTATAATATTTTTTAAGAATTTATTTGGTGGAAGGAAATCATTTTAGAATGATAAATATTTTTTAAAAGAATTTATTTTGGGAAAATAGACTATTTTGAATTAATAAGAATTTATCTAGTAAAAAGATTATTTTGAATTTATGAATTTATTATTTTAAGAGATTATTTTTAGAATAATTATGGTGAGAGATAATTTGAAAGGAATTCATTTTGCAAAAGATTATTTATTTTTGAATTAATTTAGTTTATGGTCGCGTGATTAATGGTTGTTGACCGTGATATTTTATGTACAAATCATCTGCCAATTCCATAATTCTTACTTTAATTACGTGACATACTATGTTTTATTTGCATAGATTAGCTGTATTTATTGTTCCTTGTTGTTTTTGAGAATCATTAGCAGTTCATGACTTAGTGGCTTTGTGCGTCATGAACAAGATTTAGTGACATGTGTGTGTGCGTTGACTGGGTTTAAAAAGGTGGTCCAGAGATCTAGTTCATGTTATGATTGTTGGCTTAGATAAGTGAGAAGAGTTTGGATGGGGAAGTCTTGGTTCATGTGATCGGATGTGACTGCTGATGTATCTTCGAGGCTCGCGCCAGTGACTTCGTGTAGTCACTGGGGTTGGTTTGTTGGGCTAAAGTGAATTCGTGTAGTCACTTTGGTTAGTGAATTTGTGTAGTCATCCGAGTTCTGCTTGAGTTCGGACCAGGTCGAAATCGTATTGCGTGTATTCCTCTAACCAATTCGTGTAGCGGTATTGGATGCACATAAAGGATTGTGAACAGTCATTTATTCGAGAATATGAACGTTGACTCTATGTGAGATATGGACCTGTGATCTATTTTAGGATGGCTAGTACTTAACCCTGTTATTGTATGCTGTTGGCCTTATGATTATCATGATTTAGTAGTGGATTGTATTTTAATTTTGTTAGATTTCCAGTTGCACGTATCTTTTGTCATTTCTGTTATTGCATCGGTTATTGCATTTGGTCATTCGACCGTTTCTATTTTCTTTTATGGAATCTTGCCGTGTGCCATGCACGCTGACGTACACATATTTTCTCTGGTGTACGTCAGATTTAGAGGACGGACAGGTTCAGTATGGAGATGCCTTGCAGTCGGAGTGTATTTCAGATGGAGCAGAAGAGCAAGCTGGAGCTTAGTCTTTTCTTTCCGTAGTTGCTGACGGATATTAGATTATTCATATAGTACTTTCTCTTTTAGTATTTGAGGGATTTAGATATTTTTGCAGTACTTCCGTTTATACTGTTGGGCTATGTATTTTTCATATTGTGTTGGACTGTTTTGTATTAAGGGCATGTTTAACCCAAACCTTGTGCCTCGGATGTTATTCCATTATTGATATGATCTTTTTGTTCTGAGTTGTTCATTATATTCTTGCTAATTGTGATCGGGGACCTGGGACTTCGCATTGTATATTGCTTGACGCTTAGCGTATTAGGTCGAGAAGAATGATTTTTTTATTTATTCTCCTCAATCTAATACGTCGCGGCCTTGTTCACGTTTCGATTTCCCGGTATTTTGGGAAGCGGAGCGTGACACACGCATATACTTTTCATAATTTCATCATTCTGTAAATCAAATTTTTTTTTTGAATTTTCTTTTTTTAAATATAAATAGGAGGCTCCAATAATTGTAGTTCTTCATGGAGAGAGAGATTCTCACAGATATAATAACTTCTATAAGAAATGCTAACATGGATAAAAACAGAATGGTTCGAATAGCCTCTACTAATATCGTATCGCCTCCTATCTTTGTCACTTGCGAAGCTTGCATCTACAAATCCAACCAACTTTGTACTATACCCTCTGTAACAAACAGCCGCGTTATAAGTACTTCTCAAGTAACGAAGCATTCTGTTAAAGACATTCCAATGAGCTTTACCCAGATTCACAATAAAGTCACTGATAGATTTGAAAAAGCTACCTTAAAATCTTGTTTGACCCACATCACCAAACAACATCCTAATCAGCATAATGGCAATTGTAGGATCCGGTCTACTTCACAGGCCAGTGTTCAGTACATGGACTTAGTTTTGGGTATTATTTGTGACAATGGATTTAGAAAATAGTAATAAACATATTCCTTTTCTTTAAAAAAAACTAGCAAATTAATGCTCCTTACGCATTTGCAATGAAAAGTTTGAAATGGTCTCTATGACTTCCGCAATCTGAAGAAAAGTTGATCCTCGGAGATCAAGTATATATTGTATAATTAAATTCTTGTTAAAGAGATGCCCTCATGTACGAGCACTTCAATTCTTGTTAAAGAGATGCCGGCATGTATGAGCGCTTCTTACGGCACAACGACTAGACTAGTTAAACAAATGAGGGGTGCACAAAAATAGGGTTGAGATCCTCTACATCTTTAATTGTAGAGAATTTCTATAACTCACCAATCAAATCTTATTTTAAATATACTAATTATCTAAATAATATAATAATACTATTAATTGTGAGACCCCCTGAGATAATTTAATAGTATTAGCCCACCTGATTAATTGTAGGAATTCTCTACGATCAAAATTATATAGAATCTGAACCCTACAAAAATTTCTGCATCTGAGAAAATTTTTGTATCCATTAGGATGTATACATGGTTACTAAAATCTATATTTTATAAGATATAGTTGCAGATACAAATATCTAGTGAAATATCTAGATCCATATCCAAAATATCTAAGTATATGTTGGTCATAAAGGTTCAACCCTTAGATTTGTGGTTAGTTTTGATGATCAAGAAATCTAATCTTCGCCTGTTCAGATATATTGAACGCATTAATGAACTCTCTTGTATCCTATTAACTATATTCTTTTTCAATATTATCTAGTTTTTCATATCCGTTTAGTATCCGCATGTGTTTCCGCTTATATATCTGTATATATTTGTATCCGCATACTGATTGTAGTGGATATGGATATAAATTTTTTTTATCAAGACATACCCTATCTGTATACGTATCTGTAATTAGTAAGCAGATGTGGTAAAGTATCATATCTGAGCTGTATTCCAACCATATGCACCACTAATTCAAATCCATGGGTTTATGACTAATTAAGTAATTCTTTATTCCTTAACAATTAATTTTTCCCAAAAAATAAATTGAAATGTTTTTTCTAGGCAAATCAAAGGAAAAATGTGAAGGAAGGATATTCTAATTATTGGGTAGAGATCTTCTAGATTCTTAGTTGTAGAGAACTTCTACTGACTCTCTAGTATTCACATCTCCTCACTTATGCACCCATGATTAGAATTCTTTAAATAAATTATAAAAAGAAGATATATTCATTGTGAGCAATGGTGTATAAAGGTTTTCTAGAAAGAGGTGTCATTATATAATTAATATAAAATTTACAATTATTCTTGTCAAATACAACTTTCTCGATTAGCGGATACACAATTAGCGGTGTGACCTAAGATTTTAGTAGAGAAGATAGTCTAAAGAGCCCCTAAGTTTTACTCATTGTTTCTTAACTGCCAACTTTCTTCTTTAACAAAAAGTCTCCAAGTATTACTCATTTCTTGTAAGAATCCTCAACTCTTTTTTTATTGCAATAAAGCATCTAAGTTTTAGTTTTCTTTTCTAGGAAGCTCGCAATTCTTCTGTTAGTTTAGGAGCTTTCTTGTCCAAAAGAAAGAAAGAAAAAGAAAAAAAGGAAAAACAAAATGAAAAGAAATTTGGGGGACTTTTTTAAAGAGAGATGGTAGAACTTAGGGACTTTCTTATCAACAAAAGAAAATGTAGGCTTCTTCAAAGAGAGTACTGGTAAAATTTAGGAGCTTTATTGTTAAAAGAAGAAAGTTAAGAGCTTGTTAGAAATGCAAGGAAAAACTTAGGGGTCACTAAAGCTTTTAGAGGTGAAATTCACAGTGAGGATGGATTCTTTTTTTAAGTGGATGTGTATCATAGTATATGAATGTCATGAAGCAAAGTGGGTCACCTGAACCCACTTTGCCTTCTGTTTATGAATGTTAGGCCCCTTGTCAAAACTATTATTTCGCATAGTCAATTGTAGGAATTCTTTACAGCTAACTAGCTAAGGGCGTAGAGAATCTGACTTGTATATTGCTCTAGACCTCTTCTTGCATAATGTCAAATCTTAAATTTGTTCTTAAAATAATAAACCTCTATTAAAAATACTTCAAATAATTAGCCTACAGTTTACTTCCGAATAAATCTTTCCAGATTACTTTACACTGTTGTTTGGTCTCCAAGCCCTCTTATCCTTCTTTGTCCAGTCCAGTCCATGTAATATCTTGACTGGTGGGATCTTTATTCTTTAGACTTGCAGCAGTGCGAGTGACAAATTTGACCGAACGAATTATACTTGTTATTATTGGCAAGGATGACCAAATCCTGCTGATTTTCTGAAAAATATTCCGAATCCATCATACCACTTTACTCAAAGTAGTATAGTTCTTCCGGAAAATAATATAAAAAAACATTTAACATTTGCCCAATCTCCCCCATTGCTCTTTCTATAAATACGGCCATCAACTTCCTCTCTTTCAAAACCATAAATTAGTGTCTCTTGTCGATATATTCTTTTTCCCTCTCTCCTCAAATTAGAAGTTGATCATAGAGCTAGCTAGTTCTTAATGGAGAACAGCAGCTGCTCTCTTCCCTCTGATGAAGTGCTGGCCATTATAGTGCCCATTGCGGTCTACTGGGTCTACTCCGGCTTCCACATGATGCTCGGATCCCTCGACAGGTATCGTCTCCACCCGCGGAAAGACGAGGGCCTCAGGAACCTCGTCTCCAAGCGCAGCGTCGCCGTCACAGTTCTCTCCCAACAACTTCTTCAGGCCGCGGTGGGCATCGTCCTATTTAAGCTCACCGGCGGGGGAGACCAAAAGGAGGCCGGCGACGGTGCCCATGTACAGACCGCCTCGTGGGTCGCGGTCGCGGGCCAATTCTTCGTGGGGATGTTCGTGGTCGACTCGTGGATGTACTTCTGGCACCGGTACATGCACCTCAACAGGTTCCTGTACAAGCACGTCCACTCGTGGCACCACCGCCTGGTGGTCCCCTACTCCTTCGGCAGCCAGTACAACCACCCGGTCGAGGGGTTCCTCATGGACACCCTCGGCGGGGCCCTCGCCTTCCTGGTGTCGGGCATGACCCCGAGGACGTCGATATTCTTCTTCTCGTTCTCGACGGTGAAGGGGATAAACGACCACTGCGGGCTCTGGATGCCCCTCAACCCCTTCAACGTCTTCTTCTGGAACAACACGGCGTACCACGACGTGCACCACCAGCTGTACGGGAGCAAGTACAACTTCTCCCAGCCCTTCTTCATCACGTGGGACAAGATCCTTGGGACCCACATGCCCTTCACCGTCGAGAAGAGGGAGTCCGGCGGGCTCGAGGCCCGGCCCATCAAGCCCAAGCGCGCTAATTAATTACTCATGAGTGGTGAATCACTAAGTAGATGGATCAAGGAGTCATCTGATAGAAGAATAATTCTGATATTTGAGAATCGGTATAGAACATTGAGGTTTCCAACTTCATGATCAATTCTTCCTCCAAGTGCTCCAGCAACAAGAATGCACAGCTGCAGTTAAAACATGTAAATATTGGTTCCTCAATGAAATGATATAATGGAAATTTCAAAAACTGATGGATCTATTTAACACAAAGTGACGACAGGACCGCCTTATCAATGAGAATTCTAAACCACATCAATAATGAACTAATGATTTAAGGGTCTAAGTTCACACAAGATTAATTGATTAAATTAACTAAGCTTTAGAATGTCTATTCTAGGAGGTATCAAGTCTTTCTGAAATAAAATATTATTGGTAAGCGGATACGATGTCTGATTCCAGTCATGGAATCAAAATTACAAACACTAGAAATTTAGGGGTTAATTGGATCGTTAGTCCCTGTATTTATCTCCTAATTGGACCTTCATACTTATGTTTTAATTGCTAGGATGACTGGTGATGTAATTAATTATTAATTGGATTGCTAGTCACTTCTAAACATGCCTAAGAATATCACAATTAGTTCCTTCAGAACCCCATTATGCATTACACAACGTTGCAGTATATACAGTCTAAGAATTAGTGAACCTGATTCTCCATCTAAGTACAGGATTTAAATTGTGAACTATTGCTTCCTCTTTACCTATACAGGGTCTCTAACAAACGGTCATCTGTTATAATAATACCATAAATAAGTCTAATAAGGAAAAATTAAATGCAAGTCTGACCTCATCTCGATAAGAAATCTCTACTACCACCGCTCGCTCCAGGCTGGCTACGTGCAAATAGCTGATGCACTAAAGCCTCAAGATCAGCAGTCTTCTGGGCTTGCGCGTTCATCTGCTCGGCTTATGCGTTCATCTGCTCGGCTTGTGAGGCAATCTGCTCGGCTTGCATAGCTACTGTCTCCTTTAAAGCCACGACCTCATCATCCATGTAAGTTCCTCTGCAATGGTCTTCCAATAATTCTGGATACTCATCTCTGTTATCGTCCTCGCTCTCATCCCTGTCATCACCGGAATCACCATGTTGATTATTACGCCATTCTCCATGGTGCAACCAAGTCTTATAGGATACCATAATCCCATATCGAACCAAATGATCTTGCACAATACCAAATTCACGCCAATCAAGATTCATGCATTTGTTACACGGACACTGAATCGTGCTACCCCCGCCTGCATTTACTTTTGCAAATTCAATAAAAGCATCAACTCCGGCCCGATACCGCGAACTTAATCTATCCCTAATCAGTGTCATCCAACTCTTATCCATACCTGATTACAATTGGTGTGAATATAATATCATATTAATTTATTATCATAAAATAAAAAGTAGCATCTCAAATGAATATGCAATAACAAATAAAAATTTAACATGACAAAGTTACTTGCTAACTTGTCTGAAAGTAATATATAATTAAACTAAGTTTGATAATCATAAGTACTTGCTAACTTGTCTAAAAGTAACATGACAGTGATTTGAGAACCTACATATTGTATATGTTATTTGACTGATAAAGGTGTAAACAAGAGTCATATTTGTTTTACTAGTCTGATTATTATTTGTCGTCTTTTGTTTTCCTACAGAACATCCTGTGGAGATATAATAACAGCCAAGGTTTTAAATGTCGGATGTCGGGTTCATGTCGGATGGCTGAAATCCATGTCGGATGGCTGAAATCCATGTCGGATAGCGAAAATCGGGGATATATCGGGAGACATTGACTAAATATCGGATTGTCATATCGGGTAATGCGCATATGTATAATATCATGTCCTAAATATAATCTAAGCATTCATAAATTCAATATAAGCATAATTTATAAATTCTATAGACTAAACATATAAAAAAATAAATAATATATAGATTTGGGTTCATAAATTCTTTCTATCGGGTTCATAAGAAACCCTTAACATGAGAACGGGTCTAATAGGTTTGGGTATTTATCACTAAACCCAAACCCGATAATAAAAAACAAATCTTAAAAAAAGTACCATATCGGCCGATTTTTCAAAGCTAAAAAATAGGCCGATATGCTCGATATGACCTTAGTATTTCCGATTTGGTCCAGAAAACCGACATACGAGTTAAAAATGTCCATGTCGTATCGGTCAAGCCCTCAAACCGATATGTCGGCCGACATGTCGGACATGTCGGCCATGTCGGCCGACATTTAAAACCTTGATAACAGCAAATTTTGGTTCCAATATATTGAATGGTATTTCTTTATTTCACCGAGGCAGTGGAGATCATTAGAGTCCCATTGGCCTAAACTCTGGTATCATAGCCTCACCACTATAATAGGGAAATAAATTTCACAAAAACTGCCTTGACAACAAAAATTAGAGAAAACGCCCATAATTTTTGGAGAGTTTCATAAAACCCCTAGACTATTTGGCAATTAGCTATTTTAAAGACCTTGAATATTCAATGCTAATAGCAAAGCTCAAGCAGATAAAAATAACATGTGCTGCATCTTTCTTTGTCAAAATTAAAATCCAAGATCAGGAACAAGAATCAAAGAGCCAAAGAATTCAGACTTCATTATTACATGAATCACAAATACATGCAAGGTGAGAATATTTAGTTGGTTTAGCATGCTAAAATAGAACCAGGAACAGGGGGAAAATCTTTAAGCATAAAGACATTGAGGCACTTCTTCTAAGAGATTCCTAAGAGTATTTTCACTGAATACTTATAAAAGATGCATAGAAGGGCATACTTTTGGGCAAATTTTTGAAAAAAATAAAAAAAACCCAAAAAGTTCCTCGATGGATTTGGTTCCTAACTTCCGATATACTCAAACAGAATTTAAATAAATAAATAAATAAATAAAGGAGGCAATAGATCAAAAAAAAGAAGGCCCTTTTATGGATCCCAGTCAAACAATTCTAATTTACAATCTGATGGACTTCCCATATTAGCATCAGTACCACTTGCTCTACTCTTTAGTTCATGTCAGTGAACATATACAGAGATACAGCTCTGAAGAGAACAGATCATCTCAGAACTACTTGAGGGAAGTTCTACGTCACTCTTGGGGATAATGAAATCCTCAAATTATCCCTCAATACCCCCATGAATGGTATACAACTACCAGCTTGCATGCTGCTACTGCTAGTAACTCTAGTGTAATCACCCCCTAGTGTTCAGCCATTAAGCATAAACCATAATCTCTAATAAGAAGGGAAGGGTTGCTTTCAGATTTCCTATTTAGATGTTCCCTTCGAACAAAAATGTCAACAAGTTATAGCTAGAGATAATCGTTGATTATATTACTAAAGAGGTGTGACATGGGCGTGCCTACATGAGTATATATTGACAGAATGTAACATGTCAATACAGAAATTGCAAGGTAATACATATGAAAAGACAAACAACATAACCATAAGTATCGACCCAATGTTCAACTATGTACCAACTTCTTTGATACCCTACTTAGACTGATTTTCCCCCTTCTTCTGAGAAACCTTGATGTTTAATTTGGATCCTTGACAACCAAATTATGTACCATCGTTAGTATGACAAACTCCAATATTTATTAAATGACAAACTCCTATATTGGATATACAATAATAATCAAACATACACAATCGATTCAATTACCTGCTCACTGAGCTTGGTGAAGTTCGCTAAAACGATGAAGGCGAGACAATGATGTCGTTCTTTGAGAATTTATCGACTCTAGGTGCGTTAACGGAGAACCTCCTCCTATAAGATAATTCAAATACGATAATCAAACAATCTAAGCACGAAAATCCACCTGAGGGTTCACATGGACACCAAGCATTAGATAAAATCCTAAAATCGATTCAATTACAAAGTTTAAAGGGAGAAACGGCAGAGCAGCACCTGAAAGATCGCTGCTTTGAATCGTGGAGAAGAGAGAGGAACAAGACGGAGATGTTCCGACGGCAGCGGCTA